ATGCAATAATAACAATAAAAACTCAACCGTTTTATTGCTTTCATTTACACTACCAACTCAATTAATCAAAATTGCTTATGGGTTTTCATTATAAAAAAAAAAAAATTGCTTATGTGTGCATTCTAGATTACAAAAAAAAAAAAAAAAAAAAAAGATTTTATTTTATTTTTATAAAATATGAGTACATTCATATAATAAATTTTGGCTACACTTTACATTTAAAATTTGGTACATTGGGTACATTTTACATACAAAAAATTGATACATTTTATACAAAAAAGGGCACATTTTATATAACAAAAAATGGGTACATTTTATGTAAAAAATAATGGATACATTTTATATAAAAAACAATGGTACATTCTAGATTTAAAAAAAAAATATAGATTTTACATTAAAAAATTGGTACATTTTATGTAAAAATGGTACTAACAAAAAAAGGATACATTTTACATATAATAAAGTGGTACATTTGTAACGAAAAATGGGTACATTATAAATAAATTATGTGTACAAATAAAAGGTTGAAAAAATTATGAGTAGAAATAAAAGTTTAAAAAATAAGGGACAAAAAGAAATTAATATATGGGTACAAATTAAAATTTAAAATAAACTACAAATAGAAATATATGACAACAAGTTTAGCGATAAATATAAATATACTAAATGTAACGTTTCTAACACTCAATAAATGACGTTTATCAAAACCTAAGGACCTTGATCAAAATTTGAAAAGAAATAAGGTTTTAATCAATGGAGTATAAAAAATAGGGATGAGAATCTAATTTCTCCTTAATTAAATAACTGCATACAATTGAATTTCTTAGTACATAGCTTTAAAACCTTAATTTTTAAGAAGAGTAAAAAATTTATAGCTAATATTTGAGCAAGTGATCACATGGTCTTGGACCAAGCCTTAATAAAAACCCAAAACCAAAACCCCTTGAGAGGAAGAAGGACTAGTGTCCTGCACTCTCATCGTTTCTGATTTTCATATTAGCGCATATCACAAATTTCTTATTGTGGCTCTGTCTTTTCATCCCTCGTTTCAATCCTTCCACCAAAGCCCCTTCCCTAAATTATTCCATTGTCTCTATAACTTTATTTCTACCTTGACCTGAAGGACTTGCCTGCAATTTAGCCGTGCGCTTTTGGTCGTAGTTGTCTAATCATGACTCTAGCCGTCATTGAGCGGCTTTTTCTCTATTATTTATTCACAATTGGGTCAATGAAGATTGATATTTTTTTTCCAAATTTGCCCATTAATTGTTCTACAAGTTCTTGGTTACATGCAGTGAATTCTATGGCAACACAGCTTCAATTGTGGTGGTATTTATGACTTAGGATTCTGTACTGGATTGCTAAATTTTTCAACAATATCATATTTGATATTGGAGTTTTTGAATTTTAATCCTTCAAGAAAATTTAAATTTAATAAAAATCTGGTGTTAGATTGGATATTGATTTTAATCCCTTAATGTGTACTTAATTCAAATTCATATTATATTTTTGTTTTAATATTTAATAGATATCTTATTTAATGTCATTACATTCAATTTTAAATTTATGATTATACACATTTTAATTCATTAATTTTATTTAACTTCTTCTAATTAGCGTACCTAAACGTCTGTATCATAATATATTGTCCGCTTTGGGCCCCAACCATGCCCTTACGGTTTTGTTTATGGGAACTCACGAGCAACTTCCCGAGGGGTCACCCATTATGAGATTACTCTCGCACGAACTCGCTTAAATTCGAAGTTCCGATGGAATCCAAAGCCAGTGAGCTCCCAAAAAATCTCGTGCTAAGTAGAGATGGGAATATACATATAAGGCTTAAAGAATCCTCACCTTTGGGTGATGTGGGATCTTACAATTTAACTGTCACATCCCGGCCGGGGCTCCCACCACATGCCGGGCTCAACTCTATTGTAGCACGATATTGTCCACTTTGGGCCCCGACCATACCCTCACGGTTTTGTTTCTGGGAACTCACACGAGAACTTCCCAGTGGGTCACCCGTCATGAGATTGTTCTCGCGCGAACTCGCTTAAGTTCGGAGTTCCGATGGAACCCGAAGCCAGTGAGCTCCCAAAAGGCCTCGTGCTAGGTAGAGATGAGAATATACATATAAGGCTTATAGGATCTTCACCCCTGGGCAATGTGGGATCTTACAAGAAATGTCCATACCTAAATATATTTTAGTGAATTAGTGGCACATAAGAAAATATGCAAAAACATAAGTGTACCGAAAATTACGTACCTAACTATATGATACTAAACCAGTATACCAAAATGTCGGTACCTAAATATATTATACTAAACTAGTGTACCTAAATGTCCGTACCTAAACATATTATACTAACCCAGTGTATCGAATTGTTCGTACCTATATGTATTGTAATGAATTAGTGGCACACCAGAAAATATACAAAAAATAAGTGTACCGAAAAATCTCTACGAAAATATTTTCTTATATAAGATACTAAGCATAATGTGAATTAAAATTTATAATATTTTCATAAAATGCAATTTATGAACACCATAAAATTATAAATAAATTAAAAAGACATTGAATACATATGTTGGCATTAAATAGACTTTAGGGACTAAAATCAAATTTTAGTCTTGTATAAGACATTTTTCTAAATTTTATCTTATTTAGAAATTAAAATCTAATTTTTTATTCGATTTTTTCTTCAAAAACATACAGAACTTTCGAAAAGCAGGGAATCAAAAGGCTACGTGTTGTACACTAGTGATGTGGGTCTCGGTTATAAAAATTCAAAAACAACCACATAAGACAAAACTTCGTAATAGAGAAAAAAGAACGCTATGCCACAACTTTAACCAAAGTAAGAAAAAGGGCAACAATATGATGAGACCACTTCAAAGTTATCAGCTCTCAATAAACTCTTTATAACAATCCTTAAACTTCTACAGTACGATCTCCAGTATAACCTGATGCAAATTAAAAAACAAATAAGAATAAATCAATAAACCCTTTGAAAAACCACACAACTCCTAAGACGTGGTATACATCCTAATTTTTTAAGTGAAATTACAATTATTAACCATAAGAAGCAATACTCAATCCTCCAGTGATATTCCGACCAAATTGCATCTGATTACTTATCTTAACATCTTAATGATAGTAAGCATCAAAATATAGAGACAGTTTAAACACAATGATTAATAATTCAATGCAAGCATGCCTAATATCATAAGTAATTAAATAAATAGTACATATTCATGCTAAGGCTCATGGCCTTACCCTAGAAAAATAAATTAGTTACGAATAATCATAAAACTAAAGTAATTTTATTGAAATAGAAAAAGGACATAAAACACCTTGAAAGAATAATACAAATCAACAAAGTCTAGCCAAGTTTTCCAAAGTAATGTGTTTCGAATCCAATGGCTAAATAGCCTTATTATACTACCACAAAATAAAATCTTTCCTAGAAAAGGTCTTCTAAAAACTATCAAACATAATAAAATAAGATAATTAGAAAATACATTTTTATTCTAACTTTGGGAAATCTGCCCAGCTACCAAAATAGCCACGACTTGAATTAAAGTTTGAGATTTCCTGACTACAGAAAGTCTCAAACACAAAAGACATCATCTTAAACACCAAAAAGCCCAAATAAGCACAAAACGTCACTATGACAACACTGTACGCTACTCTTTTATTTCATTGCCATAAATTATCTACTTAGTAAAAAAAATATGAAACTTAGACACAAATATGTAGAAAGACTCACGAACATCCTCCAATTAGAATCATTCCAAAATTCGTCCTTTTGAATACTTTTTGCTCAAAAGGAAGTCAAATATCCTATATTGAAAATATAAATCAAAATATCAAAATTCAAACAAAATAACTAATAAATTAATACTATAAATATGATAAAATACATAGTAAAAAATAGACTCATCAAATAACACAAGCCAAAATAAGAAAATTTCAAAGGAGGCCTTGAAATTTTATAATGGGGAAGGAGGGAAACTTATTTGTGAAGTCCATAAAATATGAACTCGTGTGTGAAAGAAAACTGCTATTTTTTAATTGGTGGAAGAAATCAAATCCAAGACATACTTTTGGCTTTTCACACAACAAATAAAGGTATAGTAAAAAAGTCCATGTATAGTTGTTTTACAATTATATATATTCACCTTCATTAATCTTCCAGTTTTGGGTGGATTAACACTCAGCATAAACACTTTCTATTTCAATATATAATTCCAGTTTAATTATCATGTATATTCAACAAAAAACAGCTTTGACAAGTGTGATTACGTAATAACAGTTTATTAAAACTAACATTTCATTGTTAGAATATATATACACGCACACATTATATAAAAAAATCATAATTAGTAAACGATTTTATTCTACTAATAGTTTACTGCTGCTGATACGTCTATGGTTTATCAGCATGATCATCATTCCAAATTAATTAATTTTACGTGTACTATACTTCTGGCATTTGTTTAAGATAGTCTCCTTTTAGCTGCACCACAATCAGGAAGTCAAATTATCGATAAAATCCTTGGTATTTCAAGTTTCAACATTTCCATCCAAATTAATTAATTATCATAGCCACTTGCATGAACTACCTTTTGAAAAGGGCTGCGACGGTAACCCCAAAAATAACATACCGATAATGTCAAGTTAAGTTGGTAAAAGTTATTTTCTTCGCTAGACCAAAACTTAGGTTTGAATTTTGTTATTGGCAATCTCTTTTAGTGGGTAATTTATAAAAATAAATAAATAAATAAATAAAAACTAAGACCTTCTCTATAAGTCCTTCAAGAAGCTTGTAGTATGCCTTAACCATAGGATGAGATAGTCTCCCCTCCCCCATTGATTAAATTCTACGAAGTATTTTGAGCTTCAGACACCCTTGAATTAAATAAGACTATTGATCTATTGATGTTAGCGTTCATGTTTAACGAAGTTACAAAAAGATATTAACATTCAACGTCCCAAATTTGTATATTATAGGAATCTAGCTATTAAGGTGATGTTGAATAACAAAAAAATGTTGATATGAACAGCAGAGGCTTGACAATTCCAATTCATAAAATTTTACAGACATGAACTGCAAACAAAAGGCTTGCTAATAAAAGATCAGAAAACAAAAATGAAAAATCTCCCTTCGGTTTCCCCTTCCTTCATGTGCTTTCAACCCGACACTCGGAAACCCTTTCATGTAGCATTGACGTTCCTTGAATGTCACCATTTGGTAACAGGTTCTTCGGTTATAGTCATCAAAGTTTACAACCTAAGGTTACATAAGAATCATTAAAATTTAAGGTAAATTACAAAAAATTACCTCAATTATTAGGTCATTACCAGTTTCATATCTCATCTTTAAAAAGTTTCAATGTCATACCTTATCTTCGAACTTGTTGCAATGTCATACATTCCGTCAGTTGACTGTTAGTTCCTCAATTAAATGCTGACGTGACATGAGACGGGGCACACTTTTTATTAAAAAATTATTAAAAACTTAAAATAAAAATCATTTAATAATTAATTATTAAAAAATCAAAAAACACAAACCATCAGTTGTCTACCCCCTCCCCCTTCTTCTCTTCTCCCCAATCTTCATCTTTTTCCCCCGACCCCCCCCCCCCCAACAACCCAGAAAGGCAAAAAAAAAAAAAAAAAAGCCCATCAGTTCGTCTTCTTCTTCTTCTCCTCTTCCTCTCTTCACCCCCATCTTCATCTTCTTCCCCTTGCAACCCAGAAGAATAAAAAAAAAATTCAGTTCGTCTTCCCCCCTCCTCCTCCTTCTCTCTTCTCCCCCATCTTCATCTTCTTCCCTCGACCCTCTACCTGCAACCCAGAAGAAGAAAAAAAAACCCAGATCCCGTCTAATACCATCGCCGGGTTCGTGAGGTGGAATCAAGAAACCCCCTTCGCCAAGCCGATTCTACGGGTGAAGAACCTGGGCAAGGAGAAAATGGGAGGAATAGGTGTGGATTTAAGGAGTGGGGTGTGTAGAGGAGGGAAGAGGGTGGGTGGTGGGGTGCAGGTGCGAGGGTGGTTGCGGGTGCAGGTGCAAGGGGTGGGGGTGCAGGGGGTGCGGGTGCGGGGGGAAGACAAACTGGGTTGCAGGTAGGGGGTCGAGGGAAGAAGTTGAAGCTGGGGGAGAAGAGAAGAAGAGGAGGGGGGAGGGGTAGACGAAACTGATGGTTTGTTTGTTTTTTTTTATTTTTAAATTAATTATTATTTTAATATTTAAAAAATATTAAATGATTTTTTTTAAGTTTTAATAATATTTATTAATTTTTTAATAAAATGTGGGCCCTGCTCATGACACGTCAATATTTAACTGAGGAATTAATAGTCAACTGATGAAGGTATGATATTGCAACAAATTTGAAGATAAGGTATGACATTGAAACTTTTTAAAGACAAGGTATGAAACTGTTAATGATCCAATAATTGAGATAGTTTTTTATAATTTACCCCAAAATTTACAACCTATAATTACATAATAGTGATTCTTATGTAGTAAAAACACATAATAATGACATTGTTATTACTGCAATAAGATAGGCATTTATGTTGGAAATGTCCTATTACAAGACAAAATGTTAGACATGGACGTGATTGCATTACAAAATCAACCTTCAAAACAAAAATACTGCTACCCTTCTTTTTCCTTCTTAAAAAGTACCACAAGCTAACCTTATGAGTAGTTTAATTTGCCTAATCTTTCATCATCCTCATTTGAAAAAAAACAAACTGATGTCATCGGTAAAACATGTATGCCACTGCCACATGCATATGCACAAAAAAGTTGTAAAAGTTGGGTGCAGGGAGAATGAAGAATGTTAGTTTTGCTGGATGGTGATCCACTCTATGGTCAAGTTCTACATTATCTGATATCCGATGTAGATCTTTTATCGATGATTTATGAATGTTCAATTTAACGAGAACTATAGTATCGTTTCCAATTAACTATACCAATTTTAGATTCAAGTTATCACGGTTAAATCTGTTGATAAACAGAAGTTTGTACATTTGTAAAACAAGTGCGTTGACAGTTTCGGACTTACAAAACAAAAACAGAAAAAGATATATACATTTTTCATCAATGTGAAAACAAAAAAGAATACCTAGATTCATGTAACGTGGAAAAAATGCTTCAAAGTTCTAAACGTGCCAGAAAAGCAAAGCCGATAATATTATTCATTGATAGTCACTAACCCCACTAGAAAAACAAAAAAAGTAAGACCTTATATAATAGTATGGACCCAGATCCGGGTCAAAATAGAACTTCTCTTGCCCTTTCACTATTCCTAAAATAATATTACTAAAAAAAATTCAATAAAATTCAATAGCATACACGACACAATTCAAAGGTTTATTTAATTTTTGATATGGCGTGCTTGACTAGAAAAATCAAGTAGAAGGAAATTCAAACTCCATGACAACCGATATGTCGTACAACTTGCAGTCCTTTATATAATATTCTTCTTATAAACGCACGCCAAAAGTCGGTCTATATAAGTTCTTCAAAAAAAAAAAAAAAAACTCGGTCTATATATATGCAACTGAAAGCTCATGCCAGCTCTTCACTGACACTACTCATCTCTCTCTCTCTCTCTCTCTCTCTCTCTCTCTCTCGTTCTCTTTCGACCCAGTTTCCTTATAACTCTAAAGAGCTTTTTCTGGTTCTTTTTATTTTTGCTGGACGAAAAGCTTTTTCTGGTTCTATATAATATATAATCTGCCTTTCATTTGGCAAAACTCAGACAGTTCCACACAACTACTTGGTCAAGATTTGGATCAAACTTCAGAGCTTGAGAGATTTCTTGAGGATTATTTCAAGGAAGGAAGAACTAGTGTTGTTACTTTCAAAGGAAATGGACCATTCAGCTGCATATGATGATGATACTTCTTTGGATCTTAATTCCAGGCCTCTCAGACTTTTCGATGATACTCCGGTAAGTCGAAATGTAATAAAATCTCTCTAATATATAGTTACGCTTAACATCACTTTGCTTAATTGTTTATAAAAGTTGCTCATGAACTTATAGAAGTTTTAATATTTACTTTGATTAATTTCAGATTATTAAACAAGAGGTGCATAACAAAATATCGATCGACTTTGGGAGGCAGCTTTCCCCTACAGAAGAGGTTGGTTTCTTAGTTTTCTCCACCTTACCTTCTCTATCTTCTTGTTTTGTGGTTGCCAATTAAGGCCTGCCCTCATGGCTTATAAGGATATTTTTTATTACTTATTTCGCAATCTTTTTCTTTAGGAAGAACCAATCCGTGGCTTATAAAACTTCGACATCCAACCTCTTTAACACTTGAAACATGAAATCTAAATATACATTTATATAAACATAAGTATTACACACACACACACACACATATATACTAGTAGGCCGCTGAGGTGTCTAGGACTAGGAGCACGGTTCGCTACGAAGTAATATAAATGCTTAATTAGTAGTAAGTCGCTGAAGTGGCTATTTGAAAAGCTTAACATGGTATCAGAGCATATTTAGTTTGATATCATGAAATAAAATACTTGGGTTGCATGGCTAAAAGGTTTTATGATCTGCTTTGGTTCACAGAGTGGTCGTCTATTGGAAGAATTGCACAGGGTGAGTGCAGAGAACAAGAAGCTAACCGAAATGTTAACCGTGATGGGAGAGAACTACAATGCTTTGAGAAGCCAACTGTTGGAGTACATGAGCAAGAACCCAGAGAAGGAGCTTAGCCCAATTTCAAAGAAAAGAAAGTCTGAAAGCAGCAACAACAACACCAACAGTAACAATATCATGAATGGAGCAGTGAATGGAAACTCCGAAAGCAGCTCCAGTGATGGCGAATCGTTCAAGAAACCAAGGGAAGAGACCATCAAGGCAAAGGTTTCAAGGATTTATGTCCGGACCGAAGCATCTGATACAACAAGCCTGGTAATTAGTTAGTCCTCAATCCATAATCAATGTCACATACTTACAGTGAACTCATTTTATTTATTCAAGGTGTTGTATTGAGGAATTTTATGCGCATTTTATAGGTTGTGAAAGATGGATATCAATGGAGGAAATATGGCCAAAAAGTTACGAGGGATAATCCTTGTCCTAGAGCTTACTTCAAATGCTCTTTTGCTCCAAGCTGCCCTGTCAAAAAGAAGGTGAGTCCAAAATCCCTAACCTTCCTTCTTTTTGCTTAAAACTTATTGTAAATAGACGGAAACAAATTTGCTTTTTATTTTTCTTATTAATTAAATGTTAATTTTTTCCATAATTTTCTCTTCAGGTTCAAAGAAGTGTTGAGGACCAAACTATTTTGGTGGGAACTTATGAAGGTGAACACAACCACCCCAACCCTTCCCAAATTGAAGCAACATCGGGCTCAAACCGCATGACCATAGGATCGGTCCCTTACTCAACCTCCCTCGGTTCATCTGGACCAACAATTACTCTTGACTTGACCAAATCCAAGTCCAGTACTGCTGATGCCGAAAGCACAAAACCAAGAACTGAAACACCCGAAGTTCGCAAATTTTTGGTTGAGCAGATGGCTTCTTCCTTGACGAAGGATCCCGATTTCACAAAAGCACTTGCAACAGCCATATCGGGAAGAATACTTCAACACAATTCATACTAAAACCATCCAAATGGTGAATTTCAATTAAGAGCACTGGTGTTTCACTTGTTAGACTGTTTTTGAAGATTAGGTGCATTTGTAAATACAAACTGGAAAAAAGGACACAACTTTTCTAATTCAATCCGCTTCCGGGGCAAGGTTTCTTCGAAACTTGGACTGCAATTTGCAGCTTATTTAGTGGCTACTAGTTCAGCTAAGACGCATTGATTTGCATAATTGTAAAAATGAGCAGAAACGGCTTTTGGCTTTACTAGTTTTCCCCCTATAATTTTTCTATACATGTTGTATATCAAATTTAGCATAGGCCATATCTCTATAGAGATGTTGGAATCAATGCACTTCCTTATTCCCAGGAACTTTAACGTTAAGAGTCTTAGACATTTCTAGCAAGTTATTGTATTAAAGTTCCTAAGCTATGTCTGTTCAGTTGTCTAGTAAGAACTCTCGTCTTTTTTATTTTCTTTATAAAGCCTTTGGCTTATCAATTGTAATCATAAGAAAATAAGAAATACAAGATCTCTGCTGTAGCAACTCAAATTTCCAACATCATTCATTTGAGTTGCCAAAACGATATTTCATCATTAATATCGCACCAACAATATTTCCCGCACCAACAATATTTCATCATTAATCCAACAAGAGAGAGAGGGGCTTGAGTTGCCAAAACGGAATTTGAATTCATATGTTTGATGTATTCAACTAATTAGATCAGAAAGAGTTTCAACCACTGTGACTATTATGAGATTCATTTCCTAATTGAATTCAACAACGGACGGTCAGTCGGTGTTTATTTCTTGGTCAATGACAGACAAAGGAGGCTTTCAAAAGAGAAAAGTGTCTTTGACATAGCCTACTATTACCATTGCGGTTTTGAGTCAAAAGAAATAGGGAAAACAATGAGGCAGTTGAGCTAAACTAGGAAAGCTGATAACAAAAACAACTTCACTAATAATAATACGTATAAACCAACAGAATTGATTCAACATGTTTTATATACAGAAGAGCAGTCTATGACTCCAGCCTAATGGAGTACCTAAAGACTTCATACATATATCCATAGATATTGTGGCTAGGGTTGGCTCCCGCAGTTCACCTTTAGACTCGAAACTGCATCTCTTTCAACTGCTTCTGCCATCAAACTCCTGAAGTGGTAGCAACTGGTGGCACGATAATTCCCCCAGCTCCATGGAAACTTGACTGAATGTAACCAGAATCAGTTAATGATTTCACCAAGCAAAAGGATACGGCCAGGTCCATGGCAAAATTTTCTACTGACTTGTCTGTCCATGTCCATCAATATTCCATAACTTACTTCCTCAATAGATGTCTGGTTTAGAACAATTATCACCATCTATTTTGCTTCAATGTACAATGTATAACAGTTTTGTTTGCTTTACTCTGCATAATTAATTCAAAAATAACTACACGTAACGAATACATATGACATGAAAAAAAATTAGGAAAGCAAAAAAATAAGGACAGCGCAAATGAATTACTTTGACATAAAAATGATGACTGGTTCTAGAAATATGGTGTGACTTTTAAATGCTTTAAAGATTAACGTTTACTGAGGACTAGACTGAGAGGTTTCAAAGTAAAGTAAAGCTTCAATGAGGGTGTAAAATAAGTTTGGTAATATTCCCTTATTCTATTTAGTACAGTTAAATACCATACTCATGACAACTATAACATAAAAATTTTCGATTACTCCTACCGAAGATATTCTCCACTATTTTGGCAATTGCACACTAACAACAAGTTTTTTCAAAACCGATAAAACTATCCTCCAATGTGATTTTGGAAAAATTCAGGTCTGACACTACACGACTATTTCAAACATAGAAGGAAACGTAGGAAACAGATTTAAACATGTAAGTAAATGTCATGATTAAGTAGAGTAAGAGGAAGGAGAGGTTACCAGAACACTAGGATGATACTTGTGGAACTGAAAGTTGAAGCGCGTCACATTTTTGCAGTTTCCCTTCATTAGCTGGCAAAATTCACCAAGCATGCGGTGTAGTTGAAAAGTGTCCAGAAATTTCTCTTCTATAAATCAATGTATTTGTGAACTCAAGGCCATCTCATTGAAGGTTTTTTGAAATTGATTTTGATAGTTGGGATGTGAGGAATCTTGCCCCACTCCTTTCCTATCCCCATTCTACAGTGTTCTTCAAGAATTTTACAATCATTGATTGCCAAATTCTGCATTGGTATCGTTTTCAGGAAGTCCGGCAGGACTTTTATGCAAAAACTGGAGTCAATCTCTAAGAAGTGTAGACATGGCATTAGTAAGAGCATAGTTTGCTACCATAAAATATAAATGCTTAATCAGTAGTAGGCAGCTGAAGCGTCTATTTGAAAGCTTAACATGGTATTAGAGGCTTCAGAGCATATATAGTTTGATATCATGAAGTATAAATGCTTGGGTTGCATGGCCAAAAGGTTTTATGATCGGCTTTGATTCACAGTGACGAGAATTGACGGTGAGTGTAGAGAACAAGAAGTTAACCAAAATATTGACGGTGGGAGAGAACTACAATGCTTTGAGAAGCCAACTGTCGGAGTACATAAGCAAGAACCCTGAGAAAGAGCTTAGCCCAATTTCAAAGAAAAGAAAGTCTGAAAGCAGCCACAACACCACCACCAACAGTAACAATATCATGAATGAAGCAGTGAATGGAAACTCCGAAAGCAGCTTCAGTGATGGCGAATCGTTCAAAAAATCAAGGGAAGAGACCATCAAGGATAAGACTTGTAGGTTCTTACCTTTTAGGTTTTATTTTAGAGAGCTTTGGTCCAATGTCCACTTACTTTTTTTCTTGTATTTTCTTTTTTCAAGAGGATTGAGGTCTAGTCCTCCTTTTTCTTATATTTTCTTTTTCAAGAGAGGTTAGGTGTATGTCTCCGCTCTTTTCTTGTTCTTACTTTTTGAGGGGTAAGGTTTTGTCCCCCCTACTAGGTGCAACTTTTTTTTTCTTCATTTTAATCAATCTATTTTCCTCGTACTGTTGAGGTTTTCTTAAAAATAAAAATAAAAACTTTGTCCGGACCGAAGCATACAACAAGCATGGCAACCCATATAATTAAGGGAGTTTTAATGAAAAGGGTTTGGACTAAGTTTAATTTAACCAAAAACCACCCTGCACTTTTCTTTAACCAAAAGGGCTTCATATTTAATCATAAGGACAAGACTAATCTATACCAAGCCTCACAAACATTGAACATACATGGGCTAAATCAAAAGCCCAAAACAAAATAATTTTTTTTCCAGGCCTTGCCCCTAACGGAACCCAATCTGTCATCTAATTATGTTACAAATAAACTTCATTTTATTTACAAGTATGCCACGACCTCATTAATCCACCAGACAAAAATTAATGTGTTTGGTATTCAAATCGAGATGAAATACACAGGAAGGAGGAAAGGAAGAAACAGAGAAAGCAAAATGGAGGCACTGAAGACAACGAAGCACCAAATCGTAGGAATCCAAAACAACACCCTTCAGTTCGGACTTCACAGCGTCAAGAGCGACCTCATCGGCGCTCACCCTCTCAAATCTGCTTTGGAATTGGCAAAGTTAACTCAAGAGCAGATAAATACGAAAATCTTGGGGTACACTTATGGAACTGTGTTTCCACTAAAGATGGATTCCCTTCTCGATTCTAGAGGCCTGCCAGACCAATTCCTTTTTCAATGCTAGGTTTGGAAGCTATGACTGGAAGATTGGATGATTTTAGCTTTGAGGATTACCTAAATGACCCCCTGGGAATCTGAAACCTTACGGCATGTGGACACATCATGCAATGGAAGTTCGCCTTGGGCTTTCAATGGAAGTTATCCCCAAGCTTTATGTGATCCTCGTAGACTTCCTTCCCTAAAGAAGAGGATTAGTAACCTTGTCAATGTTATTCTTAAAATGTGATTGTCTGTCGCGCAATGACTTGAAAGGTCTAGGCATTGATATTGTGGTATTGGCCTTCTTCCAACCGATGACAGTTTCTCTATTTGGCACTTCAAAAAAAAAATGCAAGTAACAAGAACCCAATTGATGTAAAAGTCAATTAAGTACAGCAGAGAGAGATGGGATTTGGGTTTTTTATTTGTTCATCGAAAAGTTAATAAATTATTAAACTCTGCACTGGCAGGTACCATGCATGGCTGATGCGTGTCTGTGAGACTGACACCATCTCTATGTGCCTTGTTCCACATCCCTCTCCCTCAATCTTCTTTTAAATAACAATATAATATAAGCAAAATAACAATATAATATAAACAAAATAAGAAAAATAAAAAACTAAATTCTTTTAACTAAGCTTCTTTAGATGTACTTCTTGAATTTGAAGTTGAAGTTGAATTTGGAGGCAACAACTAATATTTATCTTCGATTTAAGTACTGTTGGTTGTCACTGATTGGTACTTCGAGCCCCGAGTCGACCTTCTTCCTTCCTTAACATGCATGCTTAATTATATATGTGCCAATGAATTATTAACACACTCATTTTCTATTTGTTAATACTATATAGACCAAATTTTTACCAAACTTTGTAAATCAAATGATGTAGATGTTGATGATTGAATTATTAATTAAGCATTAATTAATGTGCTTATCATTTGGTTTGCAAATTTAGTTTAAAATTTGATTTTCTTTAGCATTATCCTCTATTAATTAGAAGGGCACACAAACATGCATGAACTCCAATTTATAAAAATAGACAGTATTCAGTTTCATAAATAGTCAGTCAATTTAATAATAGTGTAGTACCTGTGTCATTTTCATAAATAGTCAGTCAGTTTAATAAATAATGTAGTACCCGTGTCAGTTTCATAAATAGTCAGTCAGTTTAATAAATAGTGTAGTACATGTGTCAGTTTCATAAATAGTCAGTTAGTTTAATAAATAGTGTAGTACATGTGTCAGTTTTATAAATAGTAAGTCAGTTTAATAAATAGTGTAGTACCCGTGTCAGTTTTATAAATAGTGAGTTTAATAAATAGCGTAGTACCCGTGTTAGTTTCATAAATAGTCAATTTAAGAAATAGTCGGTATTAAGTTTCATAAATAATCAGTCAATTTAATAAATAGTGTAGTACCCGTGTCAGTTTCATAAATAGTGAGTTTAATAAATAGCGTAATACCCGTGTTAGTTTCATAAATAGTCAGTATTAAGTTTCATAAATAGTCAGTCAGTTTAATAAATAGTGTAGTACTCGTGTCAGTTTCATAAATAATCAGTTAGTTTAATAAATAGTGTAGTACCCGCGTCAGTTTCATAAATAATGAGTTTAATAAATAGTGTAGTACATGTGTCAGTTTTATAAATAGTCAGTCAACTTAATAAATAGTGTAGTACCTGTATCAGTTTCATAAATAATCAGTCAGTCAGTTTAATAAATAGTGGTTTCATAAATAATAAATAGTGTAGTACCCGTGTTAGTTTCATAAATGGTCAATTTAAGAAATAATCAGTGTTCAGTTTAACAAATAGTGATAGTACCCGTGTTTAGTATTAAAAAATAATCAGTATTCAGTTTAAGAAATAGTTTAGTATCCGTGTTCAATTTCAGAAATAGTCTATTTAAGAAATAGTATGGTATCCATGTTTAGTTTCAGAAATAGTACTCGTGTCCAATTTCAGACATAATATATAAAAAAATAGTGAGTGGAGAAATAACATTTCAATTTTTTAACTTTTTATGGTGAATGAAATTAAAAATATAGGTGAAAAAAAAAAAAAAAAAAAGACAATCGGTATAAATAGCCTTGGTCAAGATTGTAGCACAAGTAGTACCTGCATGAACAATTAAAATTTGTAATTACCAAGCTAGACAAAACTTTAAGCAAGATCAATCCATTACGTAATATTTAATTCAACTAAAAGAAAGAAAGAAAAAATAAACTTGTTAGTAAACTGCAGAGCTATAAAATAATAGTATTATACCTCACATGTTCGATCTGATCCTCTGTTCTAAATTAAAATTAAGGAAACAAAACACAGATTTATACATGCATAGAAAACTAGATAGCACTTGATGATTTCAAAGGGTTGCGAACTTGCAAGGGATTTTAAAAGGTTTGTAAAAGGCAGTGTCAAATGGCTTGGGAGTTGAAGAATGCTACATAGAGAAAGCTTTTATTTCCTATCTTAATTAATCTCAATTTTCTCATCAATCAAACAAAAGATAGAAAATCAAGTCTCATATCCATCTACCCAAAAGTATCCTGGAAATTGATGGGGTCGGGAGGGATGTCCTTACAGTCAGAAGACGCAAGTAAGCGTCCGAACGCCCAGAAGCCACCCTTTGCAATTCTTGCACCTTAGGAACGGCGGCCATGATCCAACTCCGCTAGGTTTCTTCGGCGGAAGGTAGATTCGGTAAGGGCGTGTCATCTAGGTCGTACAACGACATCTCCTCTTCTTTCCGAAGCGCAATCTGCATCTGTTCATCACATGCATCAGGTTTCCACTGCCATTTTTCAGAGTTGGTGGTTGTTGATGCGTGTGTTGGAATTGGAGAGGGAAGACAGAGAGGAGTTGAATCTTAATTTAGTTGGAAGAGAAAATTACCTGGTCAGTTGGAAAACCAAAGAATCAATTAAAATGGGAGCTCGTTGATTTGACGGAGCAGAAGATCTATAGACATCACAGAGAAATTTACAGACATCACGGATAAATAAATTTGAGATCTGTACACCTTTCTCCTCTCGCGAAACGGACCAAATAAACGGGAAAGCCATGACGTTAAGGGCAAAATTGGAAGTTCGATAAATTACAATTTTTTGGGCTAATTTTGTTGGGCTGGTTTGATATTAGGTTTTGTCCTAACCATTAAATAAAGTTATTAGGTTGTTTTTGGTTAAAATATAAAATTTTTAAGTCATTTTGGTTAGTTTTCCTTATAATTAATCAATGTTATATACATATAATTCTATGATCTTTTCCTAAATACTCACAAATTATATCCTCAGTCTTCATTTCCATAATGTTACAAGTCAAGGGAGGGAGTTTTTGTTTTTTTTTTTTGTTTTTTTTTTTAAAGCAACGATATATTCATAAGTCAAAGGGAATAGCAGATAAGCTGGCCAGGAAAAAATCTAACCACTTTAAGGATTACAGTCTATAAACAAAATATCAAGTAAAATGTCTGGAAGTTCTTCAAACCAAGAAACCTTAATGGAGATGGTAAGTGCGTAGTGAGCAAGACGATGGGCAGCTTCGTTTGCTTGTCAGCACGTGTGGGAAGCAAATGCTCCATTGATCTTGAGTTGCAAATCCCTTGTATCGTCCACCACAGGTCCCACATGGGAGAGATCCGGAGTAGACAAGTTCAAAGCCTTCATGATCAGGAGTGAATCACTCTCAAGAGAAAAATTTAGAAAACCCCTTTCCGCAGCCAACAGAAGACCTTCACGGGCCGCTAGGGCTTCAATGTGAAGGGGCGAAGAAACGTAGGAGAACCGTTTCATTCGAGCAGCGATAAAGCTGCCATCACATTGATTCGCAGTCGACCATCAGGAGGTTTGCCATTTAAGTGGGTTGTTGTTGGGTAGATTGTTTAGGGGTTGGAATGACGCATTGAAGTTGAGAATAATTTCACCAATCATGTGCAATTTTACCTTACTTTCACCAAGGGAGGGAGTTGATTAAACAAGATTGAGCAGAAAATGTAGATTCATTGGAAGTTGAGAATAATTTCACCAATCATGTGCAATTTTACCTTACTTTGCCTTGTAATTTCTTGTCTTGTATGTAACTAGGGAAAAAACTATAATCATAAGAAAATTCGGTACACATTGCAGAGTAAAATTTCAGTTAAGTAATGTTATTCACACACCTTTTTTATTTCGTACATCCTTATTAATTTTAATTCATTGATCTTTTTCAATTCATCCAATTCAAAAATCAAAAATTAAAAAAAATAAAAAATATGTGAGAGATTAAAATTGACATGTGGATAGCACCATCCCTTTCAGAATTCCCAAGAGCAAGAATAAATAGGATCAAAAGAAAGACCCCACCTATCCAACTAATGGGCGCCACTTATCCAACTACCTTCCATACATTCAAATGGCAACCTTCATATGTCCTCTGGTTAAACCTAACAATAATACCAGAAACAAACTTGGCACTTGGCAGCCATAAGTCATGGCCACTACAACTTCTCTGCTTCCCAAATCCTTCCCACCATTTCTCACCAACGCACCTTCATTCCCCTCAACCCTTTTCACTAAGCTCTCGTCTTTCAACGCACAGGACCACCCCCATTGCACAAAAAGGCCTAACCTTCAAACAAATGCCAAGAAGAAGAACCCCTGGCTCGACCCTTTTGATGATGGGGAGGACCCTGACATGGAGTACGGATCCCTCTTCGCGGACGGGAAGCAGGACGAGGATGATAGGCCACCCGAAAACCCGGATAATCCATACGGGTTCTTGAAGTTCCCAATGGGGTACAGTGTGGAAGTGGCATCACTGGCATTGAAAGTGAGGGGGGATGTTAGGAGGTGCTGCTGTGTGGTTTCTGGTGGTGTGTATGAGAATTTGCTGTTTTTTCCGGTAATTCAGTTGCTTAAGGACCGGTATCCCGGCGTGCAAGTGGATGCGGTGACTTCTGCTAGAGGGAAGCAAGCTTATGAGTTGAATAAGAATGTGAGATGGGCTGACGTGTATGATCCTGATGATCATTTTCCTGAGCCTGCTGAGTATACTGACATGGTTGGACTCCTTAAGGTTGGTTGGTAAAAATATCTCTATTATTCTTCTCTAATATCATTTGGGCAATTCGTTTATCTCTATGTTAAGTAAAAGGATTAGGGCCCGTCTGGTAACGTTTTTGGAGAATATTTTCATAAAAATGATAACGAGAAAATGGATTTGCATTGTCAAGATTCAAAATGTTGCAGTTTCGATCATTCGTGGAGATGTTCTCTTTCAGTGTCTTCCTTACAAACTATGTTTCTCATACAAGAAGGGTTTCACTACTTGGATAGAAGATAATGTTTTTCCAAATTTGCATCCAAACGACTTCAAAAGTAGCGGAATGATTCCCGCTTCTTGAATCACAGAACAATAATGCAAAGAAATTTATCGACAAGAATGATCTTTACGGTTCTTTTCTGCAACGAGGCATGTGAGCAATTAAAGATTTAGTAAGGCAGCTTCGTACTCGAGTAAACTGGAACTAAATTATTAAGTGCCTAATTGAGAATGCTCTTGGTTTTTGGCCATAAAGGATTCATCTTGTTAAACTTCATACTTAATGAGTTCCCTACTTGATTTAAATTTGTAACCGATTGCGTTAACTGTTACAGAGTAGGTACTATGACATGATCTTATCAACCAAGCTAGCAGGTCTCGGCCATGGAATATTTTTGTTCATGACAACAGCCAGAGAGAGGGTGAGCTACATTTATCCAAATGTAAACGCTGCAGGAGCTGGATTGTTTCTATCTGAAACATTTAGACCGAATGGTATGAATCTCGCTGAAGGCGGGTATAACATGTGAGTTTATAATAATACAACACAGATGATTTTGATACTTCCTATGAAAAATGAACACCTCCTTGGATGCATAGTGAGAGCTTTTATTTGAAGCAGAAAATTGTTCTGCAGGGATAGCTGGAACAAGTATTGGTAAAATTATTACGCTGCGTTTTGACACTAATTCTGTATTTAGAAAAATTATACACGTGATTTTCAATTCAGGTATCACCAGATGGTGGATTGGTTGGGGAGACCAGTGCGGGATGTGCCACGACAAGCTTTGCCCCCGCTTAAAATATCAATTTCAAAGAAGCTAAAGCAGACTGTAGAGTCAAAATACAAGAAAGCAGGTGTAGATAAAGGAAAGTATATTGTGATTCACGGCTTGGAGTCGGATTCAAAAGCCTCGATGCAGTCTAAGGGGGATAGTGATAGCTTGCTACCCATCAAAACTTGGGCTGCAATAGTCCGCAGTATAAGGTAAGAAATTTATGGAATTTCCGTTCTGAAGGTTCTTCCGGAAACATACAACACAAACCTACACACACACACACACACACACACAAGGAATATAAAAGTTTATATGCATTGACCCTACAGAATGAGAATGTTTAATTTATAGTTGGCCAGGAAGTTTTTGTAAGTATTGATCTAGAGCTGCATTTGTTGTTCTAATGCCGACAGGGAATTTAGGCCAGTTTTTGTCATTCCACATGAGAAGGAAAGGGAAAATGTGGAGGAAATAGTTGGAGAAGATACCAGCATTGTGTTCATAACAACCCCTGGGCAGGTAGGGATAAATTACTTCACTAATTTCCCACACTTTTTGCACGAAAACGAAACAGCTTGGAGAACTATACATACAAAACTTTCGAGTAAATATTATTGTAAAGAGATGTAAAGAGATGGATGGGTTGGAAAACCATCTGCCATACAAATACTTTTCCGGTGCTTTACCTTACCAATGTCTCCTGCTGGAAAAATGAAACCACTTTTGTTTCGTGATCTCAATCCTCTTTCATTCAGAGCAATGGTAAATTTTATCAAGGACTTTGCGGCCTTGCCTGCAAAATAGTCAATGAATGAAGCATGATCGACCTCTAATGGCTTTCCTTTTTATTTTCTTTAGCTTGCCGCTCTTATCAATGACTCGGCTGGTGTGATAACTACAAATACCGCAGCTATCCAACTGGCAAATGCACGCCAAAAACCCTGGTAAATGACATATGTGAATACTAGTTTTCTTGGGTTAGATAAGTACTTGTTTGAGCATATCCTATGTTCTCCATTTCGTTTTTTTCGTGGGATCTATTTTTTCTCACCATTGGATTTTGATTTTCAAATCAGTTGATTCTAAAGATATCAATCCCCTTGAACTCATAATGTCATTGTTTTTCAGCATTGCATTATTTGGCTCTGCAGAGAAGGGGAAACTATTCATTCCCAACGCAGAGGAGAAGAACTGTGTTATTGTTTCATCCAAGACAAAAAAGTTGAAGGACATTGACACTGAAGCTGTTAAAAATGCACTTCCAATTTTCAATGTGTCCCTAGCTCTAGTCTAAAAAGGGGTTAAAGCTCACCCTGATTAGTGATTTAATTACTTTTGTTCTTGTTGTATTAATACGTTATCTTCACCCCAGTTTGTATAGCAGACCATTAAGCCAATGTTGATTAATAAAATCAGGATATATTTTTTCTGCTATCGACGTTCTGAGTGTTAACATATTCCCAAATCGTTTAAACGCACAAGAGAATTCCATACACAAGTATGAATCCTACACCAAAATAGTTCAAGGACAATCCTACAATAAGGGTACATTAAGAGAGGACAAAACATCAGAACCAGTTCTTTTCCTGATGACGGGATCACATTGTTCGGTGAGCTTGAACTAAAAGGACTAGGCCGGCATCCTGTTCCAGAACTCTGAGAACACATTTGATGTTTACACACCTCTGTAGCTTGCTGTCCGAGCAACAATGCTGGTTGCTATGAGACAATCGGCTGTTCTTGCTTCCATGAGTATGGGTATGTGGCGCTGAAGGTTTTCCAAATCAGTTCCTCGCAAAAGTAGCATCCTGTTGAGATTCACAAACACATGTTCCAGCATCAGCAAGAACTGCAGCTCAAACAAGTGGATAATGCAGGTGCATCGTTCCAGCTCTTTTCGCAAGTGGGACTGCTTTCGGTAGGTTTCTAACGTCATTTGACATGAAATCACATTCCCAGTTTCTTGAGCAAGGGCCAACCCTGAAATGCCATTGAGATACCAAGGCTGGCAGTGACTAAACCAGCCTAGTTGTCTGCTAATATCATCACAAATTTCAGACTTTTGGATTCCAATTCTTGTGTTCCCGGTTTTAGACGCTGGACTAAGGGTTTTCTAAACTTTCTGCTACGTTCAAATAAAAATGAGTGAGAATTTCTTTTCAAAATTTCTTGAGGTCATTGATTTCAAGCTCATAAGATAACAGTAGAAGTTATTACGAGAGTGCGTAAAATTTATAGACAACAGATCAAAGAAAAGGAATGCATCATCCCATCTTATCATGTTGAAATCGTCCGCGATCATCGCAGTTGGCACGGTTATTGAAATTGTTCGGGAAAAAAAATCAGGGATACAAGCACTTATCCAAAAGAAAAGAAAAGAAAAGAGAAAGAGAGTACATTACGAAGGAGACAGAAACCAAATTCAACAAAATCACTGTAATCTCAATTGAAGAATATTTGATGTTCGAATCTTGACTGTTTCTGATTCTCTGGTCTAATTCGAACGTTGAATTATGAGCGTGGTTTTGCGCGAGTTGCAGGATCTTCCTTCGACTCCAAATATATCATTGCAACATAACCCAACGTCCACAACGAAATGTACTGAAATGGTACCCACGATACGCATGCAAAAAGACTTAAAATGCTTCCCACATACTGAGGATCTTTTACGTACCCAAATGGAAATTCTGTCACCCAGGGAATGTTCTTCCCAAAACGTACTCCATAATACGTACCAGATTCACCGAGCAACTGATAGACCCTACAAATAATCAAATGGAAATTCTGTCACCCACGATACGCATGCAAATTGTCACTTATATATTTCAAACAATCGATTTATCAAAGAGAAAAGCGAACAATCAAATCCCCAACTGCAGAACTCTTGGTCTCACATAAATCACAGTTACATTGAATGGTTAAGAGAGTAAATTGATCACAAAGTTCTTTTAAACATTCAACGCTTCTGGTTCTTGTCGCATACAACTGAAATGTAGGCTACAATTATATCAAGCACATTTTCATTGTACTTAAAATCCAATGGAAATATTAATAAGTCCACCGTCGGGACTATCTTACAAGGTCCTAGGTTTATTCTCATTATGCTTCCCATTCTGCAGACTCCATCTATTTCAACTACTGCAGATAATTTTCAGTGTGATGACTGCACAATAATGCATACAGCACCGGTGTGCTCCAATTTGCTCCAATTATTTGGTTGAAATGCAAAAGCATGTTGTCATCAACAGAAATTTCAGAACAAAAAGCTGAAAAAGTTTATCAAGTGGTGGTAAAGGTTTGCAATGCCCTATTTATCTTTATAGTCAAGAATAATTTTGACAAGAAGAAACTCAGTGCTCTCTTCTCCTTATCTCCCTCTTTGCTCCACTGGGATAGGGAACATAAAAATTACCTTAAAGTTCTAACTAACAAGGATGTTAACACAAATGATTTGTGGTTCAATCAACCAGATGTTTACCGTGATGGAATACACCAAGGGAACATCAAAAGGAACTAGACATCAAGCTAGGGGCGATGAACTAAACGCCAGTTCTAGCACATTAATTTTTCTAACAGACATTATTTTTGTCTCAATCCCACTCTTCCTTTTCCCATTACACCATGAAGTAAAATAATTTCACTCCTATGAATTATATGATTTCATACATTCAATGCATCTTTTTCCTCTGTCAGGATTTCTACCTATAAGCGCCTCGTTTCCCATTAACTAGGAAGACCCGTCTATAGATGCAGAATACGAAAGATGGGCTTGCAATGTGCCCCCGTAACATTTAAGTACAATTTGAAAAAGGATATTCATAGCAATGATGACAGATCTCACATCAGTGTATCTATACTAGCATCACAAAATACGAGCTACACCACATTTCCTTTGGATTAAAATGCACCCTGTTCTCCACATCCGCCATGAAAACTATACGCATCGCCAACACCCAAAAGAGATATTCAGTTTAAGAGCAGCCAAACTACCATAGCCTGCAGCTGTGCAGCATGACATATAACTATGACCAACATGAAAAATGAAAACCATTTTCCGTCAAGTCCATCAGCTGTAGAGCATGAACTAATTAAGCAAGATTAGAAAGAATTTATCAATCCAGCTTAGTGTCATACAGATTCAGGACATGTAAATCAATTGACTAATCAAACAATTAAAAGCTCACCGCGCCGACTACCTAATCAATGAACCCAAATTCCATAACATAAAAACACATCCAAATAAAACTGAAAACTGGGAAGTACCAATGTCTCAAAACAACAAATAAAACATCTATAAAAAGGACTAACCTGAAGTTGAGGAACTGGCCAAAGGCAATGAGGGGCCAGAAGTAAAGAGGGGGAGGCCAAGAGAAGGTAGAGACCGAGAAAAGAGAAAGGAACTGAATCAGCTTCAGGAAATGAGACACATAGGCCATCACTTTGCATGGGTCACGCCCCTTCCCACACATCTCTACCCATGTTTGTGGGTAACTCCATAGCCAATAGTAGAATGGGAAGGGTGAAAGCACTCCTATTGCCGCTGCTATCCCCATTTTTCTTTTTTCTCCTTCTCACCTAATTTTCTCTCACTTTCTCTGGAAAACGATTCCTTTCATGGGTGGCTCTGGCTGGCTCATCGAATATGAGCTCTTGTGTGTTTGTATTGGTTATGAGGTCGGTGGCAGGCCCATGTTTACAGCCCGATACTTAGCAGGCTTTGAGGTATCGCATCTTCAAAAGCACGTAAAAGGGTTTTTATTTATTTATTTATTTATTTATTTTTATACAAGCGATATTAGAGGAAAGAGATATGAAGTTTTGAACCTCGATGTTACAACCAAGCAGAGATGTGAAGAGGAGATGAGTAACATAGGGTTGAGAGAAAATGGAGAGTAATGATTCTCCAGTTTCTCCAAACAAAACCCTAACGAAGGAAAAAACTTAGCATTACCTCACTATAGGGCCGACCTCACTAGTGTTAGTGGGACTTCGGGAATTTTAGTTTTAAGTTAAACCGTTTAACTTGTCGGCTTTATTGATCAAGGCTCGTTGGGTGCTGAAACTCGAACCAACTTAAGGCCCAATTCAAACTTATTTGTTTGATTGGTTAACTTTTAATTTTATCCTAGCCATAATTCATAAACAATTAGAATTTTTAACCGCTTTTACTTAATTCCATGGTATTCTTCAATCCGTATCATACAAGATATGTGATCCATTAGTTCTGATTAGCGAGGTAGTGTGCGATGATGAGAAATGGCTAATCTTCAAAACTTACACAAGCCATGAGTGATACCTAACAGTATATCATGGCTACCTAAGCTAAACAGAAGAAGTGGAGAACATAATCAGTTGGAATTACGATGTAATAAGGTCCTTTTGTATATCAATATTCTTGTTCATATTGATAGGTTGACAATTTAATCATGTCTATTAGTCGTTATGATTATCTTATCTATATCATTATTGTGAATGTGATTTGGAACATACCTCCTAAATCATGTTCATATGTTATGACAAGAGACGCTTGAATCATATCATATAATAGAGCATTTTCCTTCAACGGTTGAAGGTTAGTCTCACATGCCTCTATCAATAATAAATGTTTCCAACAATGCACGTATCCAACGTTCGAGGTGTGTCAAGAGGCGAATCCACATAGGGATCCACGTGGAATCATTTACTCTATCAAATCTAAAAGGATTAATCCCACTTAGTTGACATTTTATTTATAATAACCAAAAAGCTTTACACTCATTGTTGGATATAGGAAACTTTCAACCCTTGTAAATAAAGACTTAGTAGAGGCTGTCTTGCATTATAAACATGCAAACTTCAAGTCCCAACCCTAGCCCCAAACCCCACCACTTGTTGCTGTGCCGTCACCACCCAGGCTATCGCCTTTAGCCGCTCACTTCGCGGCCCTCAATTCAATTTTTCGTCTACATTTTTTTTTTTGAGGACCCCCAAAATTTGAATTTTGAATCCGTCATTGGTGTGTCTAACATGTTAGCACAATAGAGATGTCTCCACTGTCGAGCGAGATTTTGGAGGTGGTGTCTCATCCATCCTTAATACTCCCATGCCTGGGCTTGAAATCTCACAAATGCTTTAGAGCAGTTTCACCCCTAAAAAAATGCGCCAGCACTCAACCCATTTAATCCACTCAGTGAACAGTAATAGGTCAAATGCATCTCAATCCTTAAAAAAATAGCTTAGTCAATTTTTTTAAAATAATAATTTTATTTTTAATTTCTGACAAGCAAGCAAGTAAACATTGAGCAACTGTTTTGCTTTCTCATCTACTTTCATGGCTGCAACTGTTTCGCTCTCTTTCTCTTTATATCCACGGCAATACTACCACCACCACTGCCATCTTGTCTCCCCCACCCACCAGTTCAAACCCCCACCAAAACCTTCCCCTCACTCCCT